CCGAATTTAAAAATTGTGATATTTAACGAGAACTTGGTAGCTGTTGAACTAAGAAAGTTGGAAATATATTTAAATAAGCCAATCTATATTGGACAAGCTATTCTTGATCTAGCAAAGACTACTATATACGATTTTCTGAAAGTATAAAAAGATGCAGGAAACAAAAAAATACGATAAATAAAAAATTTAATTCTATGGAAAAACATTTATATAATGGTGATTACGATGATTTAAATGATTTTATTCAATAAGGTCTTCTTGCATATAATTTTTTTGATAAATTATTATAAATTTTATATTTCATACTTTTTTCAAAAATTAAATGCATAAAACACATCATCTATTTAATTTTCCCCATGTTGTTCCATTTCATCATTAAAATTAATATCACATTACAGGCAAACTTGATATAAAAATTTGGTGATTATAAATTATATTTAGATTAAAATTTTCTATAAATATTGCATCAAAACTTTAATTTCTTCTTATTTTAAACATGGAGTGTTTAGGGTAAGTACATTTATTTTTTATTAAATTTTTGTCATTTAGTATTTAATTTTTTTTTTAGATATTTTATTGAAATCGGTAAAATTGAGCTTTCAACCGCCTTCATAGGAAAGAAGTGGGTTGTTAAAGATGAAAATATGGATTTGTTAATTTTTCAGAAAACAAGTAATTTAATTAATTTAGTCTTTTAATATATATTTTTTTATTTTAAATTTTTAGAAAATCATCTGTTTTTTTTAATGCAACAAAAAAAAACGTAAGTTAATTATTTTAATTAAAATAAAATTCCTATTAAATTTTTTAATTTTAGAAAAACTGAAATTGCGGTTGAGTATAAGTGAGTTTATTTTAAATATATCTGAAATAGGTATTATATTTACTAATTTTTAGAATTTCGGAATAAAAGAAAATCCAGCGATCCTAGGGTAAATATTTTTTAAAAACTGTTATTTTTATTACTGAAGTTTTAGAATATTACAGAAAATAGGGGAGGAAACATATCAAAATAGTTTAATAGGAACAAAATTTGATGGAGATGGGTTGATCATCCAAAAACAAAGTAAAAATTAAATTATTTATAATAAATTATAATTCTAATTAATTAATTAATTTTAGAAACAAGTATGTTAGTGCGATATTTCATTCGACCCCGTACAATGTTGTAAGTAAATTTTAATTATTTAAAAAAAAAATAAAAATAAAATAAAATTTTATTTTAGATATCACATGTAAGTTTTTATATTTTAAAATTGGTACCTAAAATATAAATTTAAATAATTTTTAGCATCAAAACAATTCCATTGGGTACTTAGTAAGTTTTTTAATAATAAGTTGTATTATTTTTATGATTTTTAATTATAATTTCAGATTTAATAAACCAGATTTAAATTTTTTTTAAATCATATTTATTTATGATTAAAAATTATTTAATTAATTAAAAGTGGAATAGGCCTCCTGGGGATACCACAATAAAAAAAACGCGCCATAAGTTCTATCTCATTATATTACCTTTTATTATTTATATTTAATAATATTTATAGTAATTTTTAATATATAAGATGGTGTGGAAACGAACAAATACAATTAAACTCATAATTTTACTTAATTCATATCTGTTTATATTTTATAGCAGGTTCTTCGCGAGATTAATCAAACCGGATCATCATTCCTCAGAAATTACTCCTCAAAATTAGAAGATTTCATCGATGGATAGTTATAATATTTTTTAAAAAACTACTTAACACGCAATTAATCTGCGTTTAAATGTAATGCAGAACATTTTATATTAATTTTTTTTGAGGTTGTAGATACCTACACAAAAAACATTATACATCAGTAATAGAAGCTTTCGTTGAATGAAAGTTATAAATTTCTTTTTTATTAGTGTATATTTTTTAAATAATGTTTTTAACAGGTGCTCAGTCTGATTAATCAGACCATATGACCTCAGAAATTATTTCTCAACATTAAAAGATTACAACGATTGGTAGTTATAATGTTCTTTTTATTAGTGTAGAATTCATACTATTTTTTTAAACTACTTAACACTCAATTAATCTGTGTTTTAATGGAATGCAAAACAATAGAGGCATATTTTTTTTTTCGAGGTTGTTGATATCTGCACAAATAAAATTAAACATCAGTAATAGAAGCTTTTTATAAATTTCTTTTTTAGTTTAGATTTTTTAAATAATGTTTTTTTAACAGGTTCTCAGTTGGATTAACCAAACCATATGTCATCGGAAATTGTTCCTCAACATTAGATGATTACAAGGATTGGTAGTTATAAATTTCTTTTTATTAGTGTAGAATTTATAATAATATTTTTTCATACATTTCTTAACACTTAATTAATCTGCGTTTAAATGTAATGCAAAACATTCGCTAATAATTTTTACATTACCAATAGCAGCACATTTATTTTTTGAGGTTGTAGATACCTAACCAAATAAAATTAAACATCAGTAATAGAAGCTTTCGCAGATTTAAAGTTATAAATTTCTTTTTTATTAGTGTAGAATTTAAAATAATATTTTTTATACATTTATTAGCACTCAATTAATCTGCTTTTAATGTGTTTCATACCATTATTTATTAATTTTACTATACCATTAGCAGCATATATATTTTTTTTTGTATAGCACTTGATGATCAGGGAAGATGCTGGGAGCTATGAAGACACAATGAAAATGATGGATAGCTATTACTTTTTGAAGATCCTTTTACGTAATCTAATTCTGTGACCCATTAAATTGATTATTAATAAAATGCATTGATATATCCTTATCGGTTTTTTTTTTTTTCATTACACTCATTAAAATATGTTCGTTGTTTAACCTTCAAATACTTTGATAAAGGTAATTTTTATTTTTATATAGTGTTTAAAAATATCCGAGTTTATTATGATGGCAGGTACATTGTGAAAAATATGTTTGATTTTTTAATCTTGATTATTCCTTCTTAATTAATTTAAAAATAGGTCAGTTTACATCTAAATATAATGTTTTTCTTTTTATACTGATTAAAAGAAGATAATAAGTTTCTCTGAAGGTAGTTACAGCTTGGAAATGGGAGAATTTCATTTTACCAATATTTTTACTTATATTTAGATTAATAGTTAGTATAAAGTGGCGTTGGGTAATGGGTGGATTACATTTACTAATATGTTGACTTCTTTTAAACAAACTGAAGGTATGTACAGCTAGGGAATGGGGTGGTTAACATTTAAAGATTGAGGGTAGGTACAGCTAGGGAATGGGGTGGTTAACATTTAAAGATTCAAGGTAGGTATAGCTAGGGAATGGGGTGGTTAACATTTAAAAATTAAGGGGAGGAAAAGCTTGGGAATGGGGTGGTTAACATTTAAAGATTGAGGGTAGATACAGCTTGGGAATGTGGTGGTTAACATTTAAAGATTGAGGGTAGATACAGCTTGGGAATGGATAGAATACGAGTTTACTTCCTTAAATCTCCTTTAATGAGAATTACAATTTATATAAAACACCAACCTCCCCTAACAAACGCTCCGAATGATGTATCCATAGTTCCGATGTTACTTCGATGACAAAAGGTTTTGAATTCAAAAAGTGTAACGTGCGCATGGACGGCGCGCTAGAAAACGATGGCCGCCATCTTGGATTTTCTAAGCGATTTCCCCACGTTAATTTACATAAGGAATGAGGGAAAATCCGTGTTAACTACTTACTGAAGACAACTCGCTATTAAAATCTTTATTGAAAGCCATTATGCCTGAGGAAAATCAACAAGAGTATATTTGACTTGTGAACTATACAATATGTTCAGACTTCAAAATCAAGAACTAGAGGTATTTTAGAGCAGTTGTTAATAAAAATTATACCATATCATTTCAAACACCGTTGACTAATGCTTGCTTTACATTCATTAGATCACACGAACAAATTATAAAGGCAAGTTCAGCAGAAAAAAATTCACAATAATGACTAAACAACGAGTTCATACTCTTAGAGCTAAATCTTTTTACTCAATGTTAAAAACTGCTTCCCCCTTATTGAATGTTTCTTCGTTAACTGTCAGAAAAATGTATCATTGCCTAAGCTTCCTGACCAATCGGCTTACTTCTTGCAACAAATTAATTTGTTTAACTTTAAAATTGTTAATGGGACTTCTAAGAGCAGGGTGTCTGTTCAAAATGTTAAATCGTATGTTTGGGTAGAGACTGAATACCCCCGAAATTGCGTTGCGTCTGCTGTGTATGATACATTAGTAAATTTTAATTTTGGCCAACACATTGAAATTGTTTCTCTTTTTGGCGATAGTTGTGGAGGTCTCAATAAAAATACAAGCATGATGTCAATGTTGACATATAGGTTAGGCTATGAAGCTCGTGTGCATATTAAAAAAGTACAGTATTGTCTGACACTCCTTTTTGCCACCAGATAGTGTATTTGGTATAATAGAAAGAGACCTTAAAAAGCAAACAATAATAATAAAGAGACAGGAGTATGAAAATATTAAAAAATACTCCAGGATTATGAAACTTGGTCAAGATGGTGGAATTTTTAACTGGAAGTCCACGTGCAATGAGATGATTAAAAAATCATGTCAAGTACATTTTCAATTTAACCCTTCAAAAAGATTTATATTTGAAAGGAACTAACCATAGAGTTGTGGTAATGGGAGAAACATTTTATACTTCAGATTTGGGGGTAGGTAAAACTATAACAAAGAAAGGGAAAAGTATTTCTTTGTTAAAACCAAAAGTTATAGAAATCCGTAACTGCTTAAAAGGGGACAAATCTCCTATTAACAGATTAGTTCAAAACCATTTCGGAAAAGACTAGCGCAAGAATCCCGATCTTTAATTTTATTGTGTCATTGACAATGCAAACACCATTCGAGATAGAAAAGGATGAATATACTCTCACAGTTTTATTTAATCGAAAATTAACAATTTTCTATAAATAATAAATAAACTACATACCAAAACACGCCTACACGATTAACAAGTAATCATGCAGACTCCAGACGAGTCCTCCGTAACTCAAGAAGCTACAAAACTCCTCTCGACCGAACCATCTAAATTAAAATTAGATACCGCATCTTACCATGAGACTCCTAACCTAGCTCTAATCCCTAAGCCCATTAAAACAAATTCAACTAAATCTAAAAGTACTAACCCTGCAACTTCTGCAACAACGACGGCTAACGCTATCGAAGTTAGCATCAGCAAAAACCTACAGCCCCTCCCAGAAGATAGTTCCGCTAAAGAACCTACTCCTGAAGTTGACTTGATTTCAATTCTCAAAATTTCCGAGAGATTAGAACTCAACTTAGGCATCCCCTTTACCATTGATGTTCAGCCAGACACCCGATACACTTTGCAGTACCTTACGCAATGCGTAAGTCTACAGTACCCCGATTTGAATGTCAAATCTTACAATTACGTAAGCACATTCTCCCTCATCGGATACGACATAGTCTGTATCCACGCAGCCCTACTCTATTGCGATTTAAACAAGCGCAACCAGCGTCCATTTCACTCAAGGATCTATACCACTAATATGAACCGAAAAGAATTCTACGATTCTCTTCTCCGTCTCAATGTTTCCTCACGAGCCCGGCCCCTGATTAATAATCTCACCTCAACGTACGATGAACAGCTTGCTCAATTACAGTATACCCCCGGATATGCCGGCTTCAAATTCCTCACAGACTTTGACCACACCATCCCCTCCCTGTTGATGCTCTACGCACACCAGATCCTCGCGTCCTTCCCCACAAACGCCCAACCCAATACTGTTTTGACCGAATTATTTCAGCAAATCCTCACAACCAAAGATGGATGTTCATACACCATCTCTAACCTGCTTGGTGGCCCCTATGTTTCAGACAATGACACAAGAATCCATGAAAATTGGCTCTTAACTACATTTGAAAGAATATTTAACCCAGTGATCAATCGTTCCCTAGCCTTAAGACCTAGTCTTGCTAAGCTTCACTCATATTTCCTTCACTTCGTATAACGATGTCAACCCCTACGACTACACCCTTGGCTACTGCCTTGAGAATAAAACTATTCTCATGAAAATGCTGAAAAACATCTCTGACTTTATCAAAACCGAGTCAGCAGACTGCCTACTCCTAAAAGACGTACTCAAAAATAGCAAAAGCTCTCTCATCCAGACGCACTTTTTGACCGTCCCCTCCCTTCCCAGATGGCACAAACTTCCCCTTGGTAAAGAGCTTGATAAAGCAATTTACACAAGCGATTCCGACTACGCTAAAACGATCGGCTTCATGCCTCACGAACGAGTAGACCTTACCTCCCCTAACGCCCAAATACACTACACAAACGTTGCCTCTGACCTCCAGCTCACCACCGGAGTCGAGTATAACCCTGACGAAGAAGTATTCCCACTTCTAAGTTTTGACCCCGAAGTTAATGTACCCCTAACGTTGCTTGGTTCCAACCATACAACCCTATTCCAAAGTACATTAAACTTTGTTGCACCCTAGGATTCCAGATTGAATCTTATGATATAGTAGGTTTCACCCTACCTACAACTAACATTCATACCTCCCTAATAAGCAACAACAGCAACTATAGACCCGGACTAATTCCCTTCAATTATATCCAATATGTAGAAGGCTTTATTGGCGAAAGAACTGAAATTTGCGAAATTGCATCTTATGACGAATACGACCAACCTATTGGTTTCGCTTATCGAGACATGTCTCGCGTCATTATTCCAATTTTTGCTCTCAGTAACTCAAGTTCCTCTTCCACACAGACCTACGGACTAAACCCCACTCCGAACTGTAATCATGACTTAACGTCATGGACTTACACAGCCTGGTGTAAGAATTCTCACCCTTCCATCGAGAAGAAGTCCATATATTTATGGTCTTCCTATCGCGTAGTGGACCGTTCTACACGGCTACTGCATCCTTTTACGGATCATTAAGACCGCTTTACGGTTTAAGTGTTCCACATTACAGAACAGGACACCCCTCCATCATTACCCCACAGTAATAGCTACAGCTGATTTCCAGCTTAGATTTTTTTTCTAACTTAGTAATATTTTCTAATATGTTTATTTCTAAAATTAAACTCCTCACCTGGTTTTGGCAGTAGCAACGATGGAAACACTGCTCGTCGTTTTTTTGAAAATGTTTCACTTTCGTCAGAAATTACAGGGATAGATGAAAATAATATTAAACGTTTTAAAGTTATTCTGCAAACCATATCAAGTGGATTTCATATCAATCTAGAAAGTTTTAAAAATTATGCAATATCTACTGCAAAGCTTTTAGTTGAAAAATATCCATGGTACAATATGCCGACTACAGTACATAAGGTTTTGATACATTCCAGTGATATTTTAAAAACATTTTTAATTCCAATTGGCCAGCTAAGCGAAGAAGCTCAAGAAGCATTAAATAAGGATGTGAAAAGATATAGGGAAGGCTTTGCACGTAAATGCTCCAGAAAGCAGACTTTGGAAGACATTTTTAATAGACTTCTTCTTTGTTCAGATCCAGTCATATCCACTATCAGAAAACTTCCTAAACGAAAGTCAAAATCTTTCGAAAAAGATGTCTTAGATTTGCTAATAGCTCCAGAAAGGCTGTCACCGCAGGCGCAGGTGGATGATTATTCAAGCGAAGATTCTGAGGATGATTAACCTATTTTTGTAATGCTATAATAAATGTATTTTTAATGTACAAAAACAAACGAAGCTGTTTTATAACAAAATTCGTCTTTTAATCGATCACATTTTTCTTGATACAAGAATTTTAAAGCAAGTATTACTTAAAATAAGTAAATAAAAATTATTTTTTTTTCCGTTTTATCTTTTCAATTATCAAAAAAAGAAATAATTTTTTCCAATTTAAACTTTTAAGTGACCTGTTAATTTCAAACACCCTGTACAATTTTTAAAATTCATGCAAAAGTGTTTTTTTTTATATTTAAACCGTATAAATTTAGTCACCAAAATATATATATATATATTTTTTGTTTATTTATACTCTTTGTTGTGACCTAATAATTTAAAACACCTTGTAAAATGTTTAAAAATAATGCAAAATTATTTTATTAATATTTAAACAATATTACCTAATTTTAATAAGGTTTGTTAAAATATTAGGTTTTGGCCAGAATTTTTTAATTTTGCCCCACTGTGCGACGTAGGTAACATCACAGTATCAAAACTGAGTATTTTTATACGTTAAGGCGCATTTACATGGTTCACTTTGGATGATCACTTTGGATGAATCATCCAAAGTGAAATAGAAATGAATCGTGTAAACTAGTATTCATCGAAAGTGATCATCCAGAGTGAACATTGATTGAAGTTGAATGGGGTTCTACTTTCGTTCACTTTCGGTGATTCACCGCGGATGAATCATTAAAAGTGAACCGTGTAAACATCCACTTCACTTGCAGTGCGTAGTGAAGAACTGATAAACAAGCACGTGTTCGTCGTTGTTTACGGATAGAGGTTCACGGTGTTTTATTTCTATTTTTTAAAAATGGTTATCAAGTGGAAAGATGATCATACTCCGTTAATTTTGAATTTAATGAAAGAGCGACAGTGTTTATGGAATACGAAAGCAGAAGAGTATAAAAACAAAACTTGCCGAGACAAAGCTTTAAAGGAAATCGTAGCAGAGCTAAATATTGAGGAGGTAACAGTTGAAGATGTAAAATTAAAGATAAAAACAATCCGTACAAGATACTCATCCGAGCTGGCTAAAGTGAATCAGTCAACAAAGAGTGGAGCAGGGCCAGATGATCTTTATGTCCCAAAACTTTTTTGGTATAAACTAGCAGATTCCTTTCTAAATGCAGTATGTGTACCAAGGAGTAGCACAGCAACTACAGTAAGTATGACATTTTGTGTACTTAATTTTTGCTTAATATGTTTTTTATTTTAAATCAATTTTGTTCAGCGTACCCACAACTATACTAATAACGTATTATACCGTGCGCTGGCTGGCGAGACAGTTTTACAAATTTTTACATTATCCAATATCAAAATGCATATAAGTCATGTAAAAATATTTTTATTGAATTCGTTTTTATTTAGCAAGTTGTACAATCATAAAAAAATATTTAAATCATTTTCCATTGCCATGGGACAATGTCTGTGAAATAAAACCGTTTTGCGTAATCATCCCGCAAGCTTGCAGCCGTTTTCTTGTAGTTGTTACTTGACACAAGTTTAATATCTCCAAGACCTTGATGTGTGACGTGCCGCCAAGCTCCAGGTAAAATTTTGCCTTGCTCCCATAATTCTGTATCAACCAATCCTTCACTAACGTATGGGTTATTGCGGGTAGAAGTTTTTCTGAGCCAGTTATGAAAAGCACATGTTGTTTTCACTAATAGCTCAGTTGTTTCTACTTTAAGTGGGATGGGCTTTTCAAATATTCGAAAACGCGATACAAGTATTCCAAACGCATTTTCTGCCACGCGACGCGCTCTTGATAGCCGGTAATTAAATATCTTTTCTTGATCAGATAACGTGTTTTTGCTGTAAGGTTTTAAGAGAGAGGTTCTAAGCGGGAAAGCGTCATCCCCCACAAAGACACCATGATCAGGTATATTTAGCCAATTATTCTCCAAAGCCTCATTGAATGTGCATTTGGAAAATACTAATGCATCATTTGCTCTGCCATTTGTACCGACATCAATATATATAAAGTTGTAGTTAGCATCCACAATTGCAAAAAGAATGGTGCTAAAGGTTTTTTTATAATTATAAAAATAGGAACCGGTTTTCTTAGGACATCTAATCACAACATGTTTGCCATCCATAGCTCCGCAGCAGTTAGGAAAATTCCAGAACGTGTAGTAATCCTTCATTACCGTTTCCCACTCCGCAGTTGTGCTGGGAACCTGAAACAACAAAACATATAATTGCATCCACTGAAATATACACGTCATTTTTCTTTTAATAGCATTTTAACAAAATTAGGTTCATAATACAACTTTCATTATTTTTATTACAATGCTTAACCCTATTATTTTTAATACAAAGAGGAATATCTATCTTTTTTAGATCCCAAAACGTAAAAAAACGCCAACTCTGCATACGCAAGGCGTTGATGATACTAATTCAGAGGAATGTATAATAGAAGTTGAGGATACCACATCTGCGGTCGAATCTGTAAATGAAAATATACGTGAAGTATCTGTAAATGAGAATGTACGTGAAGTATCTGCAAAGGAGAATGTGCGTCAAGCATCTGCAAATGAGAATGTATGTAAAAGAGTCAGCGCACAGGGAGACTGGAAAACTCCACGTTCAAAAAAGAGCCGCTTTTCTGAGATTTCGGATGTAGAAAGGGCAATTGATAAATTATCTTCAATTTCTGCAAATAATTCAGCCACAGAGAGTGACAATGAATTTGATCACTTTTGCAAAAGTCTGGCAGCTCAACTTAACCGAATGCCTTTGGATCGCGCTTTACTTTGTAAGGAAAAACTGCTAAAAGTAATGACTGAAGAGCGAATGTATTTATTCAGATTGGAAAAATCTAGGCAGAATGTTTCTCAATCTACGCCACAGTGGACCTACTCCCCCTCGCCGGATGATGGCATGTCAAACTCGATAACATCCTATGAAATAAATTCCTATTCTGAGACTTCCACTCCCACGGCTTCACCATTTACTCACTTGACACATACTACTGACCTGTCGAATTCTGTACCAAATGCCACTCAAGAAGAAACATATGCAGAACAGCCAGCCGGGGATATAATATCCCAAGCCTTGTCTACTATTGGTTATCGGTAAATAAAATGTATTGTTTCATTATAATTTTTTCAATAAAATAAATGTGTGTTATAACAATGATGATGTACCTTGTTATTTTAATGTATATAGGTAACTATACTTACTTTTATATATTCTTCAAGAACCTTGTAAATGGCAGCCAATACTTCTGGTAAAAACCGAGAAATAGAACATTTTGGTATACGGTATAATGCTTCTAGTGTTGCAAAGCAATCTCCTGATGCAACATATCTCAGTACGATTTGCAGTTTTAGCCTGGGAGGAAGACTTTCTCTCATATTTGTGTTTTGCTTCCTAATTAGTGGC